CTGCGGCGGCCATCCGCCTCAGCCAGTGCTCCGCGCGCGCGACGCTGCTCAGCCTCGGGAGCGAGGAGCGAGGAGCGAGGAGCGAGGGAGAGGCGCGAGGGGGGGCGAGGAGGAGGAGCGAGGAGCAAGGAGAACGAGTGAGGAGGAGGCCCCCCCCCTCGAGGAGGAGGAGGAGGAGGAGGAGGAGGAGGAGGAGGAGGAGGAAGAGGAGGAGGAGGAGGAGGAGGAGGGGGCCCCATGCCCTGGAGGGGGAGGAGGAGGCCCCCCTCCTCGAAGGGGAGGGCGAGGAGGAGCGAGGAGGAGGAGCGACCCTGACACCCTTACGCCGCGCAGAAAATACTACGAAGGTTTCCGTCTGGTCCCTGCGGTCTCCTGGCCTAAGGGTGCCTTCCGGCAGCTTTGCCTCGCCGAGAACGTTCTGGTGGTGCCCCTCCTTCCCTCCTCCCACGCGTCAACTGACCAACCCTCGCTGGCGTGGACTCCTGGTGCCGCGGGTCCTTGTTTTGTTGCCGTCGAACGGCATTCCTCAGTCAACAATGAATGACCAACCACACGAGACAACATGACCGGCCACGAAGATTCGATCAAACCGTGATGTTGATACTGAAGTTAGTACCCACCACGACAACCCCCCTTATCGGGTGCTTTCCGACCGAAATCTTCTTCCAATTCTGGCCCCCGTGACGGCGGGGGGGTCTACAGTGAAGGCCCAACCCTTTGACTTGGGCCCCCGATCTGTGGAACTTGCAAGTTAGCAGGAACGACTTGTCCGAGCATGCTACAGCAATGACTTTGTGCCGAAGACGCTAGAGCACCGCAGAGTCAAGACGACTATGTCCCTCACATCCCCCAGGTGGAGTGGACTGAGCACTAAGGGAGCACCGCAGACACACTCTGCATCTTCACACTCCGCTCATTCGTTCCCATTGGTGCCTGGGCCAACCCCGACCAGCGGCCCTGGGGAGAGGAGCAGACGGAGGAACACGCTCCACACCCAGAAACTCCACACGAGGCTAGAGGGAGGGACGGCGGCACCAACGGAAAGCACGGCCCTCGAAACTTTACTTTTCCAGCTGAGCTCTTACAAGAGCGTCGGATCAAAAGGATGGCGCAAGGCGGCCCTCTTGGAACCTGCATCGGCAGCAGGCTCTGCCTGCGCGGCAACATCATCCTCTTAGTACTAACAGCATCATCGTCATCATCCTCCTCCTCCACCTCCTCCTCATCATCATCACCACCATCATCGTCATCATCATAGTTGTCATACGCGTCAACATCACCTTCGTAATCATCGTCATCGTCATCATCAGCAGCAGAATCAGCAACAGTATCATCATCCTCAGCATCGTCATAATCATCATCATGTTCATCATCAGCATCACCATCATCAACAGCACCATCATCATCAACACCATCATCATCATCATCATCATCATCATCATCATCATCATCAGCATCATCATCCTTCTCAATCGTCATCATAATCATTAGCGTCCTCAACATAAGCAACAACATGATCATCAGCCTCATCAGCATCAGCACCTTCATCTGCCACATCAGCATCATCATCGCCACCATCATGATGATCACCATCGCCACCACCATCAGCATGAGCATCCTCATCATCAACCTCCTCATCAGCATCATTATACTCATCATCATCATACTCATCATCATCATCATAAGCAGCAGCATCATCATTATCATCATCAGCATCATCAGCGTCAGCATTATCATCATCAACAGCAGCAGCAGCAACAACATCATCATCAACAGCAGCAGCGTCGTCGTCATCACCAGCATCATCAGCATCAGCTGCAACATCATCAGCAGCAGCATCATCGTCACCATCATCATCATCATCATCATCATCATCATCACCAGCAGCATTATCATCATCAGCATCATCATCACCATCATCATCATCATCATCGGCATCAGCATCATCGTCGTCATCATTATCATCATCGGCATCAGCATCAGCATCATCATCAGAATCATCAACATCAGCAGCAGCAGCAGCAGCAGGAGCGTCATCGGCATCGCCCTCGTCATCGCCTTCGTCATCGTTTTCGTCGTCGTCCCTCATCCCTCTCCGTCCGTCTCTTCTCATCCCTTGTGTTATCCATACATCCCCCTTGCTTCCTTACTCCCACCCTCGCTCCCCTCCCTCCCTCCCTCCCTGCCCCCAGACGCCCTCAAAGTATTTCTCGAAACCCGCTGCCCATTCCTCCCTAGGCTACCCTGGCCAACACTGTAATGTCTCTTCGCGGATCCTGGCACACCCGTTGATCATCATCATGTACGAGAGGGCCGTGGGCTCCTTAGCGATGGGGTGTCGGAGATGAGGCATCATGGAAGAGGTTGACGGCAAGGGACTCGACGGTGCTGCGGGGGACCTCCAGCGCCTGGACAATGGCGCGGGCTGCTGAGCAAAATATGCGCAACCGCGCCAGAGGCACTCAGTGGAAGAATGCTGTCAGACCCCTCCGAGTCCGTACTCTTAGGCTTAGGGACCCAGGCCACAAACTCACGGGTATGTTAGGCCCTGCATGGCGCCGCTGCACGCTCCTGGAGCTTTTCGCGTGACACTCTCTCCGAGGCCCCTAAAATCAGGCTGGGAACGAACGTTTCCACCCTGTCCTAAAATGGTCCCAAAAAGCAGTCCTGGGACGCGCTTGGCGGTCGCATGGGCCGTCCCGCGGGCCCTGAGGGTCGGCCCAAGAGGCCAAAACCGTCCAAAACCCAGAAGCCCTATCTGGTTGAAACATTATCGCCTTTCCGGCTTGACAGCGTCCAAGAAGCTGTAAAAGTCCCCAAAGATCGCCTCCAGAGGCCCCCAGGCCCCCACCAGAGGCCCAAGAGAGCCCCCAAGGGCGGCCCAGCACCAGGAGCCCGCCAACCTGAGATGGCCCCCGAGACCGCCAGCAGGGCCCCAACGCGCCCCACAGAGGCCCCCAGGGGCCACCGGGAGGCCCCAGAGGCCTCCAAGTGACCCCCAAGAGGCGCCTTCGGGGATGGACAGACCTCCCTTTAGTAAAACGTGGTTTAGTGAAAACGACCTGGGGCCCAAACCTGGCGGGCGCAAGCCTGGAAAATAACGGCCGCGGCGCCCTCTCGAGAACCGAAAACGGACGATTCGCTCATCGACGTGTCAGGGTAGGAGGTCTGTCCGCCCCCCAAAGATGGCCCCCAAGACCACCAGCAGGTCCCCAATGCGCCCCACAGAGGCCCCCAGGGGGCCACCAGGAGGGCCCCAGAGGCCTCCCAGTGACCCCCGAGAGGCGCCTCCGAGAGGCTCCTGCTCAACACCCTCCCTCGCGACCCCTCCCCGGCGCGGAGGCCGAGGGCGCCCGGCGAGGGGCCGCCGCTGGACGGGCGCGGGGCAAGCCCGCGGGCGTGGCCAGCGCCCGCCGAGGACGGCCCCACCCCCGGCGAGGACCGCCCGCGGCCCGCGCCGCGGGCGCGCCCCGAAGCCGCAGGCGAGAAGTCGAAGCCGACGCTTCGAGCGAGGGAGGCGAAGCTAGCGCGGCCCGCCATCGCCCACCGAGGAGTGTGAAGGGGCCCTGGGACATACAAATAAATAGACAGAAATAAAAGGATTCCCCATATTTTTGCATACTTTCCGGGTTTTTGTCTTCCCCCCCACTTCCCACGCTTTCCCGTATTTTCCGGGGGATCGACGATTCATTGTGTCTGTGTGCTTTTTCCCCTCCTGAGAGTGGGGCCACGACGCAGCGCCGAGCGCGCAAGCGCCACGTGCGGGGCCAGGGGCCGCGCCGCCCCTGGCGAGGGGGGCGCGCGCGCCAAAGAGGGGCGCGGCGCGCGCGGGGCCCGGGCGATGCGCAGCCGCGTGGGGGGCGCGGAGCCAGCGCCCCGAGGCCACGCGCACGCGCGCGCACGCCAACCAACGGAGGGCCGACCAGGAAGGGGGCCTGCAGGCGTTTCTGGAGTCGGGGCAAACGCCGAGCGTCGCTCAAGGTTCCTGTGCACAAGAGGCCGAGGCTGCGCCGGGTCGGGAGGATGGACTGGTGGTATGAGGTAATGGAGGGCGTGAGCAGCGTGGCCACAGCTGCACTCGATTGTACGCACACAGCGCTGAATGCGTACACGTGCTTGGAAAATCTGCTTTGAGGGGCTCTGTACGAAACTGTGAAATCCGACTACAGGGCAATTTTTAATACATTCGATTGGTAGTGATCCTGGCGAAGGACCCAACCATAAGCAATTGTTCGTAACGCGTTGTGGGTGCCGCTTTCGGTGGAGCTCCCTATGGGGCCACGAAACGCTGCCCAGGGTGGGGGAAACGCATGCGAGAGCAGCCACTGGGGCCTTCGGTGGAGCTCCCTATGGGGCCACGAAACGCTGCCCTGGGTGGGGAAACGCATGCGAGAGCAACCACTGGGGCCTTCGGTGGAGCTCCCTATGGGGCACGAAACGCTGCCCAGGGGGGGAAACGCATGCGAGAGCAACCACTGGGGCCTTCGGTGGAGCTCCCTATGGGGCCACGAAACGCTGCCCAGGGTGGGGGAAACGCATGCGAGAGCAACCACTGGGGCCTTCGGTGGAGCTCCCTATGGGGCCACGAAACGCTGCCCAGGGTGGGGGAAACGCATGCGAGAGCAACCACTGGGGCCTTCGGTGGAGCTCCCTATGGGGCCACGAAACGCTGCCCAGGGTGGGGGAAACGCATGCGAGAGCAACCACTGGGGCCTTCGGTGGAGCTCCCTATGGGGCACGAAACGCTGCCCAGGGTGGGGGAAACGCATGCGAGAGCAACCACTGGGGCCTTCGGTGGAGCTCCCTATGGGGCCACGAAACGCTGCCCGAAACGCACTGGGGCCTTCGGTGGAGATGGGGCCACGAAGCGCTGCCCAGGGGGGAAACGCATGCGAGAGCAACCACTGGGGCCTTCGGTGGAGCTCCCTATGGGGCACTGGGGCGGTGAGGGGTGGGGGGCACGCACGCTGCCCAGGGTGGGGGAAACGCATGCGAGAGCAACCACTGGGGCCTTCGGTGGAGCTCCCTATGGGGCTACGAAACGCTGCCCTGGGTGGGGGAAACCGCATGCGAACACCCCCACTGGGGCCTTCGGTGGAGCTCCCTATGGGGCCACGAAACGCTGCCCTGGGTGGGGGAACCGCATGCGAACACCCCCACTGGGGCCTTCGGTGGAGCTCCCTATGGGGCACGAAACGCTGCCCTGGGTGGGGGAACCGCATGCGAACACCCCCACTGGGGCCTTCGGTGGAGCTCCCTATGGGGCCACGAAACGCTGCCCTGGGTGGGGGAACGCATGCGAGACACCCCCACTGGGGCCTTCGGTGGAGCTCCCTATGGGGCTACGAAACGTGTGAGAGGTGTGCCGAGAGCAGAGGCAAGGAGGGGGAGGAGGGAGGAGGGAGGGGGCAGCGGGAGGAGGAGACGCGGGGCACCGTCTCTTCAAAACGAGGACCCAACACCACAGGATGGTTGGGAAAAATGTAGGAAGTTTAACACAGAATGAATATATGGATACATTTATGCATGAACTCATCGTTGCTTTTAATACTAAATCCCTGCATGTTTAATACATGATCCGCACGCGGAGCATGTATTAAAAACGGCACTGTACGCCACGTTGACACCGCGGGGAATACTCGCACGGCAGAAAATGCGTCTTGCCATCTCTGCTCGCTCTGCCGACAAATCAACAGCTCCGCTCGCGGGCTCCACAGAGCGTGGGCCTCCCTCGGCATGTCCCGCCGGCTCCCCGTGGGGGCGCGCAGGGCTGCGGTGATTACTGCTTCTGGGCTGCTGTCGTGGTCCCGCTATGTGTGCTCTATTTGGCCGAGCGTCTCTCACCCCCGCCTGCTCAGAGGGCTCCGAAGGCGACGAAGCCGCTGCAGCGCAGGGAGGAGGGAGGAGGAAGAGGAGGAGGAGGAGGAGGAGGAGGAGGAGGAGGTGGAGGAGGAGGAAGAGGAAGAGGAGGAGGGGCCCCGGCGTCAGAGCAACACGCACGGCGCGCCCTTCGGCCTCCCGAGGCGACTCTCCTGGGCTGCCCCCCGGGGGATTCCCACGGGGACACGCCGCTCTCGACGGCCACGGCGGAGGCCCCACCAGGAGCTCTCGCAAACATGGCGCCCCGGAGGGCCGCGAGGAGAGCCTCCCGGGGTGCGCTCTGACCAAAATGTCGAGGTGAATCCAGCGGTGGCGACGAGGGCCTGAGGCGGCCCCCCGAAATGGGGAAAACGAGGAGAGGGTATAGGTACGGGTGCCTGTTCCTCCTCTGACCCAGAGGCCGAGTCGCCATAAACTTGCCGCCGTGAATTTCCCATGACGAACGGTGGGGCCGTCGGGCCACAAGTCGGGGCCTAAGACGCCGGGAGGGCCCCAAGACGCCGCCGAGAAAACGACTTTGAAGTAGACGCAAGGGGGACCAAAATAAACCTGCAGCGTGCTTCGCCCGTCTCACGCTTGCTCCCTTGAGGTCCCAAGACCGCTCCAAGACGGCCCCCCAGAGGACCCGATGTTGCCCGAAACTGCCCCGAGGTGGCTGCCAGAGGCCCGATGATGCCGCCACGATCGCCCAGGATGGCTCAACAAGGCCCCGACCTGGTGCCAGGATGCCCCCAGGATGGGGCGCATGGCCCAGCATGTCCGAGAGGTGGACGAGAGGCACCCCCTCAAGAGACCTCATGACGGCCCAAGAAGGCCACCAACCTGCGCCAACAGTCACAAAATTCGGAACTGGAACTTATACATTCCCAGTGGCGGGCTGCTTATCAATCCCAGGACTTGAGGATCGGGGGCGACATCGGGGTGGTGTGGTGCATACCTGTTCCCGCTGTCCCGAGGAAACAACGAAACATGTATACACCAGGACCCCGCATACACCAGGATCCGCCTTCCTGTGCGAGTTTCAGTACGGGGCCGGAACAAAGCGTCGGTGTGTATATGGCTGAGTGGGGGGGGGGGGCTGGAGACAGCAAAAGGTATCGATACCGTTAGGTCGGGCCTGCCCCCCTACAGGGAGATTTTCGACGAAAAATAAAAGATACCCTAAAAAATATCCAAAAATAGTCCAAAAATAGTCTGGGGACTATTTTTTAGTATTTTGTTGACCTTGTTGGGGCATTTGTGGGGTATCTTTTGTTTTTCGTCGAAAATCCCCCTGTAGGGGGACACGCCCGACATAACGATACCGCTCACTCCCTGGGCCCCTCCAGGGGCGCGTCGCACCAGGACTTCCCCAAGGCGACCATCCAGCGCCGGCGACAAGGGGCCTCCCAGAAGGCCCGACGAGGCGAAAGCGAGGCAGAGGCAGCGACATCGGAACGGTGTCCTCCGCTGAGCGACGGTCAAAACAGGTCTTGCGCGAGATGGCACAGCGACCTTACGCCGCAGCTTGCGCGGGCCGCCAGCGCGGCACGCTACATTGGAGACGAGGGCGCTTACGCAAGCAGCTTGCGCGGGCAGCTTGCGCGCCAACGTCGGCGAAGACGACCCCGTTTTTTGGCGCCGCTCCTCTGAGGTGTGGGGGGGCGGGGGGGGCGACGGCAGAGGGCGCAGCCACTCGAACAAGAATTCCGGGGCGCGCGTGCCGCAGCGTTCAGCTCTCAGATCCGCGCCAGCGAGCTCCCTCGGCACCTCGGCACTGGTATGTTCTCAATGGTTGTCGGGGGTATCCAGGACGACCCTATGACCCCCAAAAGAGTCCCAAGGGTCCCCCGCGGGAGCCCAAAGGATCTCGACACGAGGCCCCAGAGGGCCCCCCCGAAGAAACCAGAGCGATCATGCGCAACGTTATCACCATGTCACGCGACAGCTCGTTGGCGAAGATGCGCAGCAGCGCAGCTGGATGGTAAGAGGGAGGAACAACGGACGAGGAAGGCGGAGAGGAACCGCCTCCTCGTGCTTCCTCCGGCCATCCTGGGCTGGGCGCAGGCGGCCATCGGCGTGGCCGCCTGTCGGGCAGCGCCATGGGAGGTCACCAGCATTAGAGGGGTCACCACCTCCTCCTGGAGATCGAGGATCGAGGGGGGGAAGAAGACGAAGAACAAGAAGGTTCTGTGGCAACTCGTGGGAGCCTCCCATGTCATCCTGCTGGCTTTTGCGAGTCGACTCGCACCAATGCTGATCGACGCTAATTGACACGAAATCGACGCCAACCGACGCTGGATCGGCGCTCTCTCATCGGCCACCAGACGCGAGCGCATGCTACTGCACTACAGTTATGTCGAGCGTGTCCCCCTACAGGGGGATTTTCGACGAAAAATAAAAAATACCCCAGAAATACGCCAAAAATGTCAAAAAATATTCAAAAAATTGTCACCAGACTATTTTTTGATTTTTTTTTCTATTCTGGGGGGTATGTTTCATTTTTCGTCGAAAATCCCCCTGTAGGGGGACAGGCCCGACTTAACACGACAGAAACAAATATGCGAGGACATAATTACCAGGCTCCCGCTTGCTGCCGAAGGAAAGCCTCCCGAGGACAGCACCGGCGGGAGCAGGGACGACCAGGGCGGGAGGGGGCGCGACGGGAGCCAGGCGGCGAGAGGGCGGCGGGGCGGCTCCACGCGCGCGTTGTCCATCCTCTCCATCCATGCCTCCGCCTCTGTGATGTCGCCAGCCTCGCCGGGCGGCCTTCCACCCTGCCCCCCCTCCCCCCGCCTCCGAGAAGCAGGGGAGGGGGAGTGAGGTGAAGAGATGAGGAGGAGGAGGAGGAGGAAGTGGAGGAGGAGGAGGAGGAGGACGAGGCACTGCCGCGCAGAACAAACAAGTCCGCAGCTCGAAGCTCGAAGGAGGAGGGACGAGGGGAGAGGAGGGAGGCTTCCAAAGGTTAAGGAGAGTTTTCGGAGAGGCCTGGTTGAAGGGGTTCTCAAGAATTTCCAAAGTCCTTCGGGGATTTCCCAGGGAAGGGGGAGGTTGCGAGGAGGAGAAAAAGGGAAGCTGAGGATCAAGGCAGATTCCCTGGCCACCCTGGACATCCCTCTCCCTCTACCTCCTGCTCTTCCCAGTCATCCGAGATGACTTGCTTTCCAAATAGATGGCCCTATCCGATGGCTCGTTCTCCTGGTGGCTGCCTGGGTCCCTAAAACTCGGCGTCCGATGGATCCCGATGGCTTCCCACGGCAGTGGCCCTGCGTGTCACACTTTTCCTGCGGCTGCTCGGACGCATGTGGCGCGGTTTACTGCGCATCTGTGCCGCGTCCAGCCCCACTGGGCTCTGAGAGTCCACGCGAATGGGGGCTCCACACGCACGCACGCACGCACGCACGCACGCACGCACGCGCAAACACATAAACACACACACACACACACACACACAGGCACACACACTCACACTGTGTGTGTGTCACACACACATGTTTTGGGATCGCGGCCCTGCGCGCAGCGACAGGGCGTACAAAGTCGGACGACAGCAAGTCGCGCGCGTGCGTCCAAACCCGCGTGGGCACTCAGAGACCATTCGGGGCCCAGCAGCCGCCAGCAGCCAGAACCATCTGGACATGGACGGCGAGGGGGAGCTGTGGAAGGACGAGACTACGACGAAATGAAGGTGCCATCAGCCAACCGGGACTGGAAGGTGGGAGGGGCGAGAAGGCAGAGTGAAGCGACAAAGAGGCCAAGGCCGACCTGGAAGCCATAATCATCCTGGCGTGGATGGCGAGGGGGTGCGGTGGCAAGACAAGAAAGACAACGGTGAGGTGGGGTGGGAGGTGCCAAAAGCCAACCGGGACCGGAAGGCGGGGGGAGCGAGAAAGCAGAGAGGAGCGACAACGAGGCCAAGGACGACCTGGGAGCAGAGACGGCGAGCGGCGCGCCGCGGAAGGTCGCAGGCTGTAAAAGCCGCGAGAGCTGGCGAGGCCGGGCGGCGCAGCGAGCGGTCGAGAGGGCAGCCCGGGGGGTGCGGAGAGGCGGCCCGGAGGCGGCCAGCGAGGGGAGCGGCGAGGCGGCCGGGGGCGGCGCGGCGGCGGCACGAGGTGCGACGGCCCAGCCCGTCCAAGCTGGGCAGGGGAACCCGCCGCCCATTACCAGCCTGGAACATGTCCCCATCCCTATGCTGGGCATCTCCTCATCACGATGCCAGTCTTAGGGATTCCCCTATTTCTTGAGGGCGCATCCCTGAGATTGTCATCGCTTTGTGGCGTGTCAATCTTAGGGATAGGGATACGTTCGAGGCTGGTAAGCCCAGGCGGGGGAGCGCGGGAAGCGAGGGGGGGGGGGGAGGAGGCCCGGGGCAGCGCTGGCCGGGCGAGGCCTGGGAGGAGAGAGCGGGGGCGCGAGCGGGGTGCCCACCGCGTGGCAGAGCCGGCCGTCGCGAGCGAGAGGTCCGGAGCACAGGAAGGCGGGAACACCCAGGGACCCACTCTTAAGTCGGGCGTGTCCCCCTACAGGGGGACTTTCGACGAAGAATAAAAAATACCCCCCCCCCCCCAAAAAAATACACAAAAAACAGTCCCTAGACTATTTTTGGACTGTTTTTTTATTATTTTGGGGGGTATTTTATATTTTCGTCGAAAATCCCCCTGTAGGGGGACACGCCCGACTTAAGCCTACTCAGCCCGTTCACCGTCACCTTGACGCTCTCGCATCTCTCGCGGGGGGTGGCACGTCAAGCACGGGCCGCCCGAGCCATGCCGCAGTTCATATGGCCACGGTGCAGCCCTGGACCTGCCCTGGGCGAGCGCGACGTGGATGCGGCGGGCGCAGTCGGCGCGCCCAAGAACGTACAGGGCAGTTTTTAACACATAGGATTTTTAGGATTTGTTATACACGACTACTTTCTGAATAAATTAATGCATGAACTCATCATTGTTTTTAATGCTAAATCCCTGCATTTTCAATACGTGATCCGCACGCGGAGCATGTATTAAAAACGGCTCTGTAGCCCCCGTCGGACCTGACGCAGGAGATGAGGACTAGGTGGGCTCCCTGGAACTTGGTCGACGAGTGTGATCTCCACGATGGTCGGGTCGGGCGAAAGGGGGGGATAGCAAAGGGGGGGGGTGAGAATCAGCTCGCGCGACTGATTCTCCCTGCGCCTCCCGGCGCCGGAGGCGGCTAATGTATCGAGGAATGGGCCCCTCGGTGAGGCCGAATCCAGCTGCACGCAGCAAATTTCGTAACCCCCCCTTTCCCAATCCCCCCCTTTCGTCTGGCCTGAGATGGGCCACTTGTTCCGCGGACCGTGGGAGAACTCGGGCTGGGCGAGTCCGCCCTCGGAGCGCCGGCACGCGCTAGAGGCGGTCCTGGCGCCGCCCTGAGCGTCACCCGGGAACCCGTCGGAGTGGAGCGCGTCGACGTGCAGCCGATCTTGGGAGGCCTGGAAATGGGCACCAACACCAACACAGGGGGTTGCCTCCACAGGGGAACGAGGATCCTCGATTTCGGTGCTGGCGGTGATACGTCGGTCACCCTGGAGGCCAGAATACTACCACCATCACCGAGATCGGGATCTGCTTCCCTCGGTGGAAGCACGCCGCCGATCTTGGTGCTGGTGTTAACCTCTAGGCCTGCGAGCCGATACCAGGCGGGGACTGCGGCCGAGAGGCCTGGGGGCAACATGCGGCAGGACAGCCGGGGAGAGGAGGCGCCAGATGACCCCCATCCCTCGCACGGGCTGTAGAAGCCGGAGCCTCTCGCGCGCTCGACCGACGGCACACGGAGGAGGTAGAAAAAGGGCCGCCGCCCCTTGGTGGGGAGGCGCGGGGGGTCTGCCGAGGCAGCGGGAAGGCTGCGGCTGCAGGTGGGGACGGGGGCCGGCACGACAGCCTCTTCTCCCCGGGGGCCCGCCCCAGCGACACTTGGGAGGTTGTGACGGGAAGGGCCGGCTTGGAGAGGGGAGGTGGACGGGGTGGATCGTTTCGATGCTGGGGCCTCGTCCGCGTCGTCCCGCGCATATTCGTGGAGGCTTGGAAATTGACACCAACACCAACACAGGGGGGTGCCTCCACCAGGGGAAGGTGATCCTAGATTTCGGTGTTGGTGGTAATCTTTCGGCCGCCTAGGAGGCCAGAATATTACCACCATCACCGAAATTGGGATACTCTTCCCTCGGTGGAGGCACAACGCCGATATTGGTGGTGGTGTCAACCTCTAGGCCTCCGACATTCGCGCTTGGGCCACGAGATCCCTGGGAAGGGCCCACGGGGGAATCGCAGCAGGTCGGGAGCGATGCCGCACTTAAAGAAGACCCCTGCAGCAGGCCCAGGAGGGGAAACGGAGGAGGCATGGGCGCACGCGGCAGCATTAGGGGATCGAGCAATGACCTGAACACAAAAACTCGGAGGGCCGAATTCTTATGCTTACGTCCTTGCTCGTTCCCCTGAGCACGTCCGGACAGGTGGCCACGCTGTCGCGGCACCGGGCGAGGGCGGCGCACACACAGGCTGCGCGGCGGTCGCGGAGCCGCGCGCAGCGGCGGGGCGGAGCAGGTCGAGCAGGCGGCATCGAACGAACGCGCGGGGCCCAGCCCTCAGACGCGGGACCGCTCCGGGTCGCCCGCGCGTGGGCCACCCGGGCGTGGGCAGCGAGGGGGAAGAAATCCCGCCAGCCCTTTGGGGCGTAGGTGGTCTAGGGTGATATTGTCCCATCGCACTTTAGCCTCGATCACCAGGAAGAAAAATTCTGCCACCAAGAGAGTACCGACACTCGAGGGTCTTCACGTGTCGCGCCCTGGGAGGCGATACTCGTTCGACACTGCTTCGATACTTGTTCGGGTGTTCGGAATTATCTTCGGGATGTGGTCCTCCAATACGATGGGAACGACATAAGCCTAGGGCGTCGCCTCTTTCACTCCTTCCTCTTCCCCTTCGGGGAAAGGTTTATCACTGCTCTCTATTCAGAGACACCCCCTCCCCCCACCCGGCCGGCGGCCAACCCGGAACCATGCCGACCTCCTACGGGCCCGCCCCCCACCATCCCTGTCAAAAAACAATAAAACGCACTCTGCCTCCACATTTGGAGCATGCGCGGCCAACCCGATGCGCCCACCCACACCATGCCCGTCAAAAAACCGTGCAAGGTACAACGTGGGGCAAAGTATTGAATCATTTTCGTGAGGCCCGCGAGCACGTTGAACTGTTTTTGACTGGGACGGCGGGGGTGTCAGCATATTCCCTGCTGTGCGCAGGGCTACCATCCCTGACAAACAACAAAAAACACCTCGCGGCTAAATCTGGATCATGCGCGGCCATCCCGCGATCACTGTCAAGTGGTTTTTGACAGTGACGGCGGGGGTGGTGGCGCGTAGCCTGGCGTGCGCAGGCCCACCAGACACAATGTTGGGCATTGGTTTTCGACATGGATGGCGGGGGCCGACATGTTTCCCGATGTGCGCTGTCACGTGCGCAGGCGCACCTGGCGCACTCTGCATGTGCCCCGAACGTGGCGCACCTGGCGCGGCTGGAGTGTGCGGCACACTTGGCGCACTCGGAGCACGTGGTGCATCTGGCGCACCTGGCGTGCCTGACACGCTCGGGCCCCAGGGGTGCCTGGCGCGCGTGGCGCCCCTGGCACGCGTGGCGCACCTCGCCCAAGCATCGCGCACCTGGGGTCGGCTCTGGTTCCCAATAGCTGTCCATCCAACGACGACCGCTGAACGTGTTCAGGCTCGGGTGTTACCCAT